TTGTTCCATGTGGGCTTTGTTGCTTCTGAGCTAGATGGCCGCTTGTTTACCTTCAAGCTTTTAAGACCCCAAACGCTATATCTTTTAATAGCTGGGCACCATCAGCTTTCTTCACCACATTTGCTTATTCATCCTCTTTGTCTTCAGCGGTTGTGTCAGGAAGGTGAGCATCATAGAATGGAAAGGGCCTATTCTTAACTCCTTTCATTAAGTGTCAGATTTGAGTCTGGATTCTCGTCAGGGCAAAGGTGTAATGGAAAGGAGGGACACTGTTTAACAGTAGTGATAGATAGGGGCTCTTGGGAGGGTCTGAGAGTTGGTTCTCAAGCAGCCAGAGTCACATGGGACACACAGTCCCAGGGAAGGCCCTACAGGGAGATGCCAGGTAGCAGGTAAGGCAGAAAGGATAGGAAGGAGGAGATACGCTTGAAGGAAGTTAGGCCCCCCCCGAAAAAAATCACTTCATTTTTGAAATATTGAACCAATACTTCAGTTTCTAAACAAACTGGGTACTGTATCCCTGCTTCAAGGACTTGGCCACCTTCCCCACGAGAACAAAAGGCTGCTAGCCCTGTGCTACCTCATCCATTGCTGGTATGTTCAAGTCCACTGCTGGGCCACTGTCGTCTCATGGGGGTTCCATTCTTGCTCACGTCCCTCCCAGCACTGATGTAGCCCATAGAGTATTCATGGGGTGGTTTTTTGAAGTGGATTTCCAGGCCTTTCTTCCTAGTCTCTCTCTGCATTTGAACGGTCCACTATTCACCATGGGGGTACCTGCTGGCCTTTGAAATACCTGAGACATCACTTCAGGATTGTGGCAACATACAAAGCACCACAGTAGGACAAACTGACCGGCAGTTGGTGGTGACAGAGTAGATAACACTTACTGAGCACTTACTATGTGCTTGGAATTCCTAAGTGATGCTAACAGCTAACATGATCAGCTACTTGATGCAAGGTCAAGTTGAAGTCCACCCAGAGGCACCACAGAAGAAAGTCCTGGCATCCCCTCCCCGCTGTAAATGGGACAGCTGGTTGCAGAGCGCTCAGCAGTGTGTCATGCCTCTGCCCTGAAGGAACTCCTGTCAGGTGGTGGCCACTACTCTCCCGGACTGGTAGATGAAGAAAGAGCTGACCCAAGGCTACTCAGCTGGGAGTCCAGTCCCTCTCCTCTGTGCCTTCCTTTCAATCCACCCTCCCCCCTGGAGCCGAGCAACATTAATGCCTGTGCACCCCCCACCCCACCACTAGTGGGACTTGTGTGAGTGTGCGCCCGATGCCATAATTGCTCCATCAGGGCAGAAAACTGCTAAGAGGAGGCCTGATGGCTTAAGTTTGGTGGTGTCTGCCCTCAGGGTCACACACTTATGTGAGTTCCAGCTCAAGAGTCAGAATCCAGGATACCCCTCCACGGCCACCGGCCTGGCATTAATCGGTCATCAGACACGGGAACCTGGACTCACATCCACTCGCTCCACTCCCTTCTTTCCTACGGCAGGGAAGGAAGGTGGTGAGGGGCAACGGGTTTCAAAGGGACTGGATGTGGGTGTTAGCAACCTCAAGAGCTTAAGTGTTGGAAGCGGGAGCCCAGGTGGAAGGCTGGGCCCCCCCGGGGAGAGCCCAGGTGGAGGGCTGGGCCCCCGGGGAGAGCTGGCACCTGGGGCAGCCCTGACTACTGCTCCCCACCTCCCTCTCCTCGAGCCTGTCTTTTCCCCACACACCCCCATTCTCCCTGTCTCCTAACAGCGCCTGTCACCTAAACCCCGCCGCTTCTGTCTCCTTTCCAGGCAGATAAGAAGGACCCCCAGGGCAACGGAACTGTGGCTGGGTTTGAACTGCTGCTGCAGAAGCAACTGAAGGGCAAGCAGATGCAGAAGGAAATGTCCGAATTCATCCGGGAGAGGTGAAGTCTGGGGCCCAGTGCCTCGGGGGAGTGGGCAGCACACATGACGCTGGGCTTGCTTAGTATCAAGGGGAGTGTCGACCATAGGCCTCAGGACGGCTGAAGTCAACAGACCTGCTACTTCAGCCGTGTTGTGCTTTTGAAGAGTTGAACCAACACTTAAAAGTCTGGCCATCTATCAGCTCTCAGGGAGAAAGACAGGGCTTTCAACGCCCATAAAAACGTTCACAGGGCAGGTCTGCCCTGGCCTTATGGTGTCGCTATGAATCAGCAGCGGCTCATGGCAGTGAGTTTGGGGTATGAACAGCTCTGGAGAAAGCAGGGGGTCGAATAGCAGTTGCTCTGCACCCCTCACTCAGAAGTGGGTCAGAGCTGAGTAGTAGTTGCCCTTCCCTAGAGGGAACAATGGGTTCCAATTTGCCATCGCCTCCACCACTTCTTACTGCCCCCCTCCACACACACACACACAAATACCCCACCAGCTCTGCCTCCAGGGAGCTCCTTCAAGTGGGGACGTCAGACAAGGATGCACCATGAGCTAAGGCATGATGATCGTAATTTGTCTGAAGTGCTTGCTCTCATAGAAACCAAAAACCAGGCCACCGCCGCCGAGTCCAGTCCAACCCGGAGGCACCAGCTGCCCTATGCCCCTTTGGGTCTCCAAGGCCATAAATCTGTGTGGGAACAGGCAGCCTGGTCTTTCTCCCAAGGAGCAGCTGCTGGGTTTGAACTGCTGGCCTTGTGGTTAGCAGCCCAACCCTTACCAAGCAATGCCCCTAGGGCTTCTTGGGAAACTGAGGAGGGAGCGATAAGCCCTGTGGAGCGGAGGCAGAGAAAGCTGCTCCAAACCAGGGTCTATCAGGCTCATGCAGGCAGAGGGATGAGTTAGCATACATCTCTCCCAAACCCTCCTTCCTCTGTTCTGAGCCCTAAAACTTTATTATGTGCAGTGCATACACACAACCCACACTGTAGGTGTATGGCATTGTACTCCTCACACTTGCATGTGTGTACACACACACACATACACACACACATCTTTCCATCTGAAACTGATAAAGCATACTGCAAATCTTTACAGCACACAACCCGCTGCTTTTTGAGTTGATTCTGATTCATACCAACCATGGAGGACAAAGCAGAACTGGCCCATAGGGTTTCTGAGACTGCAAATCTTTACAGGATCAGCTAACCTCACCTTCCTCCCAAGGAGGAACTGGAAATTCAAACTGCCGACCTCGCAGTGATCAGCTCTGCGGATCAACAGCTGTGCCATCAGAGCTCTGTTTTCATGGTATATAGTAATTTGTTTTTAAAGTAGTTCTCTTTTTAAAATGATCATCACAATACTAACCCAAATAATAATGTTTGGGTGATTTAAAATACCCCCTTTCCTGAGGAAAGGAGTCAGGTGGCATCTGGGGTAAGCATTGGGCTGATAACCCCACAAGTTGCCTGTGTGAACCCTCTAGCCACCCACAGGAGAAATAGGGGCTTTTCCACTCCTTTCAAGATGTACAGCCTTGGGAACCACACTCGCCTGTAGGATCCCTCTGAGTCGGCATCACTCAATGGCAGTAGGTCTGGTGTCTTTAAACAAACAATAAGAAAATAAGAAAAAATAAAATAAACAATAAGAAAAACCTCAAACTCACTGCTAGCCCGTCATCTCCAACTCATGCCAACCCTATAGGACAGGGTAGAACTGCCCCTGTGGGGTTTCAAGACTGTCACTCTTAGGGCAATAAAAAGTCTCCTCTTTCTCCTAAGGAGTGGTTTCAAACTGCTGACCTTGCAGTTAGTGGCCCCACACATAACCCCTGTGCCCCCAGGGCTCCTTTGGTTTCCTTGGGAAGACCTGTTTCCTATATGTATAATCAAATCTGTATTTTACGAGAGGGCACCCAGGAAAAACGGATGTGTTATGAGACGGATAGTGCATTTGGAATTTGTTCCACCAGGTCAGACTGTTAATCAAGCTTTCTGTTTAGAGGGTCTGAAAAGAGAGCGGAACCATGTGGGACAAAAAAGGCCTGATTTGTGGCAGACGGGGGACTGGTTTTGCCACCGCAATGCACAATGCACCTGCTCATGCAGCCATCTCAGTGCACCAATGTTTGGCAGTAAAACAGCATGCCTCTCTTGTCTCACACACCTGACTCACCTGATTTCGCTCTGGGCGACTTCTTTTTTGTTTCCGGGAACGAAGAGGGACGTGAAAGGACAGCGATTTGATGAGGCTGAAGAGGTGAAGGAAAACAAGGGAGGTGCTGTCAGCCGTCCACAAACAAATTAGTTTGAAAATGTCTCCAAGAATGGAGTCACAGATTTGACCAATTTATGAAGCGTAATGGAGAGTACTTTGAAGGTGATAAGGTTGTTTTATAAAAAACTTTAAAGACGTAACTTTGAAAAACATTTTCAGTTTTTCTGGGGCAGGGCATTCCCTCGTATAGCCCATGAAACTGGCGGGAAAGTGAGGTGCTGCCCATCTCAGGGAGGAGAAAACCATCCGACAAGAACACAGGGAACGAGGAAGTTGGCTCTCAGACCAGGTCCGAGCACGCGTGTGCGTCATAGAGAGTCACAGCAGTGTCATGCTATGACTCAGCCAGCCCTCTGCCCTCAGCCCTGCCACCACTTGGAGTTGGAATCAGCTTGGCACCAGTGGGATTCTGTGCTTTTGCTCAGTGTTAATAGGCACAGTGCTCCATCTGTGTCACCTGACACACCCTTGCCATCCTGAGCACTGGTGTCCCACAGGGCTTATCCTGGGCAAGCAGGGTCCCACACACCTCGGGCCCAGGGGGGTCGCTTAGACAGTGAACAACACTTCTGACAGACTCGCTTAACAAGTGCCAGCTAATACAGAACACCCCCAAAGGACTGTTGTGAAAGTATGTCAAGGGCCTGCCTGCTGGAGGCAATCTGAGGCCAATTCCTTCTCCGGGGAAAGGGAAGAAGGGAGAGAAGGAATAAGCCAGCAAGCCAGGGCAGCTCTGGGCACTGCCTGGTTTCCATGGAGACATGGTGTGCCCTGCAGGCCTGTCGTGTGTACTGGGAGAGGGAAGCCTGTGGGAGAGGGTCCCTTCCTGCTGCCTCTGAAGGTGTAAATCCTGAAGGCTGAGTGTGGAAGGCAGGCTGCCCCCCCCCCCCAACCTCTCAGTACCCCTCTCAGGTTGTCTGTCTTCATTTAAGCATGTCCCCTGGGTCCAGCCGTGCCCTGGAAGCCCTGCAAATGGCCATTTTTCAGCTGCCTGAAACAAGAACCCAGTTGCCATTGACTCTGGCTGGTGGCAACCCCTGGTGTGTGAGACTAGAGCTACGCTCCATAGGGTTTTCTGGATCAAGGTGCCTCTGGGTGGACCTGACCTTGTAGCCTCTGGGTTAGCAGCTGAGCAGATAACTATGGAACCATCCCATTTACAGGTGAAGAGATCAAGGTTCAGACAGTTTTCATCCATTCAAAAAGGTGCCCTGATAGCTCTGCGGACTAAGCATTTGGCCGATCACCTCCAGGTTGGCTGTTCAAACCCACCAGCTGTTCCAAGGTAGAAAGATGAGGTTTTCCGCTGCCATAAAGATGTACAACTTGGAATAGCTTGTCCAGGGACAGTTCTGCCCTATACTGTAAGGTGGCTCGACCAACCCCTGCACTCATGGAGCTTACAGTCAAACTGCCAGGTGACACCGCTCCTGTGTGACAGGGCTGCAGCCGCAGTCCTCATCCAGCCCCATTCAGTGTTGGGTTCTCTCCCTTTGCAGGATAAAGATTGAAGAGGAGTATGCAAAGAACTTAGCTAAGCTCTCTCAGAACTCCTTGGCGGCCCAGGAAGAAGGGTGAGTTGAGAACAGGGTGATGGGAGTGGGGAGGGTAGGAGGACACTTAACAAGAGGGACCCCTTCTCATTTCAGTGTCTGCTTCACTGACCACCAGCATGGCCCCACTTAGGACAGGGGAGGCCAGCTCATGCAGACATGTGTGGCCCAGAGTCAGCACCATGGCTAGGGTGGACAACTGTGGCTCAGGGCAGGCACCTATGGCCCAGAGCAGGCCAAGCCTCAGCAGATTGTGTGTGTCTGGGGAGGGCAGGACTGGACGACTTCGTATGTGTGTGTGTGTGTGTGTGTGTGTGTGTGTGGTGAGGGAGGGAGGACTGGACGACTTTCTCCTTCTTTGCCCCTCCGGTTCAAAAAGGAATCTCAGGAGATTAGAGCTGAGGGCCCCTGGAGGTCCTCTCCCTCCCCCTCCATCCAGCGCCAACTCTGAATTCTGCCTCCAACCGGAAGTGGACTCCCAAGGCTGGGACATCCTCTTGGGGCAGGGATGGCTCGCAGAATTCTTCTATGATGTTGGAAACCTTCAAGGCACAGAGATTTTGCCAAGCAAATGTGGCTCTAATTAAACCCTCTCCCTGGGCTGCCTGAGCAGACAGCACCGAATGGTTCCCTGCACCCCACCAACTGCCGGCCAGCCGGCAGTGTCCCCTCCACAGAGATAAATGGGCTCGGCGCCCAGCCACCTCCTGCCCAGTGCAGGAGCCTGGGAGTGGGAGCACACAGTTAGTCCGTGAGGAGGTGACCCTTTCTGCCTGAGGAGGGGTCTTTTCTATTTATCCCCATGCCCCGCAACCACTGTGCTGCTCTGGAGTCTTCCGGCTTCCACCTCCTCAGCCTGGGCCGCTTCCAAGGACACTCTGTGCGGGCACGGCGCCCAGCATATGCTCCCAATGCAAGAGGCCCGGCTCCACCAGGCAGGCCAGCACCCCCTGCCATCCCCACGCGCACTAAAGATGTCCATTCCCTGTGCCTCAAGAGTTCGCGCACACACAGCCTATCCGTGTGCACAAGCACTGTCCCCATCACATGCAAAAGCACAGGTGTCTGCATGGGGATGCACGTGGACACGTACGCATCACACACACACACACACACACACACACACACCTTTGTTCTCCATTTTACGCAGTTTCGGACGTTGGGCACACTCAAGCTTGCCATTGTGAAAGGTCCCCACTGGAGCCCAGACATTTGGGGCGGCCTAGGAAGATGTGGACGGTGGAGCCTGCAGCTCCTTGTGCAACTTGAGAGCCGCGCCCATTTTAGATTTCCTAAGACATGCGCTCGTGGGTAAATGAACAGAATTCGATTAGATCTTCTGTATTCAGCTGTTTCCCCCTCCTTTGTGGAAAGGAAATGGGATTTGAGTTTTTCTGGGCGGGCAGTTGTGAAAGGAACTTGCATTTGGGTTCACGTTGTGGATTGGAACAAATATGTGTCACCAGGTCGGGGCGGGGGCGGATAGCGGTGTTGTTGATTGTTTTTGCTTTTCAGTAACCTCTGTGCGAGGGGGAGAATGGTCTGCTTGTTGCTGAAGTATGAATTGGCTCCCAGGGGGCCTGGAGTCGGGTGGGGGTGGGCGTGGCGTGCACAGGAGACGGATCGGTGACTCTCTTCGTTGTTAGGCGCCACCAAGGCGATTCCAGCCCATAGCAACCCCACATGCACCCTGTCTGTGTGTGAGCCCATGTTGCCATCAGTCCCCTCTCGGGAGAGTCCTCTTTTTCTCGGCCCTCCTACTTTATGAAGGATGGTGTGCTTTCCCTGGGTCCCTCCCGATAGATAACTTGCCTCGAGGATAAGAGATGGAGTCTCCCGTCCTTGTTTCTAAGGAGCACCCTGGCTGTGTTCCTTCCACCGCACAGGTGTTCTTGCAGTCTGTGCCAGCCTCGAGATCCCTTACCAGCATCGTCGTGCAGAAGAAGCACTTGTGCATGTGGACCCCTTGAAGGGGGCTTTCTGCAGCTAGTTTGCAGCAGGTCTCCCCACATTGTGCCCTTGGCAGCGCCTGCCATCCGCATCGGTGATGGATCCGAGTAAAATGAAATCCTTGACCCCTTCGCTCTTTTCTTCATATATCATGATTTCGCAGCGGCTACAAGGTGCCATTGCGAGGTTGGAGTTTTCTTTACGTTGAGGCATAATCCGTGCAGAAGGCTCTGTGTAGGCGCTGCTGACCTTTATCAGCAAGGGCTCCCGAGTCCCCCTCACTGTTTGCAGGCAGGGCTTGTCACCCGCAGAGCTCAGGTGGTGAAGGAGCCTTCCTTTACGCCCTTCATGCCCTCCCGTTCAGGATGCCCGCACGCCAGAAAACCAAGCTGCCTGCCTGGAGGCCCACCTAACTCTTTGAAATGGGTCCACCTGAGTGCACGTGGGCATGTTTGTATGGACACAATTGTGCAGACAGCCGTGCTGATGGGAACATAGAACAAAGCATCTGCCAGTTCCAGAGCTCTGGCTTGTATGGTTTGGTAACATTTTGGTTACATTCTTCGCAGTGTGTCGGGGGCACCGGGCTCGCCCTTCATGTCGTGTAGCTGCCACCATGATTTGTTCTCAGATGACCGCACCACATCCACAGAAACTCAGTGCCCCTGAGCATTGGCCACCCCTCCCTGCTGCCCCTCATCTCCAGTCGCTCGCTGCCATCACATTGATGCTGATGCATAGCCGCCCTGTAGGACAGGACAGACATGCCCACGCGTGGTTCTGAGACTGTCGCTCTTTACAGGAAGAGAAAGTCCTATGTGCCCCCTCAGAGTGGCTAGTGGTTTCCAACCGCTGACCTTGAGGTGAGCAGCCAAACTCATAGTCACTATGCCACCAGGGTTCCTGTGGTAGCCACGGAGAAACACTGGGCTCTATACTTTCCTGTCCCCAAACAGAAGGATCATGCAGGGTTTGTACTCTCATGACTGACCGACTCGCTCAGCATGATGTTTCCGAAGTCCATCCAGGCTGCAGTGTGCAGCAGGCCTGACCTCCCCTTCCTGGCCCAGTAGTTAGGCATCCGTTGTCTCTGGGGACCACGTTTGGCTGCATATGGACAGCGCCATCTCTTGGTCATTCTGAATAGTGCTGCAGTGGCCATAGGAGTGCATGACTATCTTTTTAATATGCTTTATTTTTCTTCACAACCATAGGGACACACACTATATGGAGAGCCCTGTATGCTCCCTACCCCTAAAGACTGTCTCCCCTACTGTTAACTTCTGCCTCCCCGTCCTCCATTTGTTACGATGAGCTGGAATAATGCTCAAAAACTCATTGCCATCGAGTCGATTGGCTCTTAGTGACACTATAGGACCGAGTAGAACTGCCCCTTTGGTTTCTGAAGCTAGATATCCTTACAGGGGCAAACAACCTCATCTTTCTCCCATGGAGTGACTGGGGTGGGGGAGGGCTGGGTTGAACTGCTGACCTTGTAGTCCGCAGGCTAGGTTTTCTAGAGAAACAAAACCAGCCAAGAAAGTCACACCAAGGAAGTGGCCCAGCACAGCATGACTCAAGTCCACGGGTCAGATACCAGCGGGAGGCCCCTCCAGAGTGCACTGCTATAGGGGCGGGAGCAGGAAGGTGGAGGGTAACAGACTGGTGGATGCAGTGTCTCACGGACCCACGGTCGGTAGGAACGTGGCAGAGCACCAACAGTCAGCAGGCCACGTGGCCTCCAACTCCAGATGCCAGATGCAGAATCTAAGCCAGCTAGAAGGAGAGAGAGGCCAGGTCTCTACAATATCGCTTAGGAATAGGCAACACCCCCAAGGAGTGGGGGTGTGACCGGAGTGAGAGGTTGGACTCCACCAATTATCTTCTAACAGGTGCGCCAAATTGACAACAACAACAACAACAAATAATAACCGTCTCACGGCCCATCGCTTAACCCACTACACCACCGGGCTTCATGGGAAGCTAGTATGGGCACAGTATGGAGCATGGAAGGCAGTTACTCCTATCGGGGCTCACTCTCGGGACTGGACAGTCATCTGGGTCTTAGCAAAGGTTTCACGCCAGGTATTCACCATCACAGGCTCAGGCAGGATCATGTCCCTGCCTTACACCAAGGGCACTGCACAGGCCTCACCCCTTCGTCTCCTCTCTGCTCCCCCAGGTCCTACTCACCACTGATTCATGACTGCCACTTAGCTTATGCCTGTTCCACAAAGCCGTGTAGTTCGAAGCCTGCATCCCTCTCGGGCTGGGATGTTTGGAAGGGGGTGCCCTGCCTGTGTATGCTCTAGGACATTGCCTAGAGCAGTGATTCTCAACCTTCCTAATGCCTTGACCCTTTAATACAGCTCCTCATGTGGTGGTGTAGGGGCAACCAGCCCCTCGCATTATCACGGGTTTGGTAGGCACAATCATACGGTTATGATACATAAAGATTATGCTAAAGTCATAGGGCAGCGGTTCTAAAACTGTGGGTCGCAACCCCTTTGGGGGGGCGAATGACCTTTTCACAGGGGTTGCCCGATTCATAACAGTAGCAGAATTACAGTAATGAAATAGCAGCGAAAATAATGTTATGGTTCGGGGGTCCCCACCACATGAGGAACTGTATGAAAGGGTCGCGGCATTAGGAAGGGATAGAAGAGAAGGTAAAATAAAGGAGTCAGACACATTTCATAGTAGCATGCTCACCTCAGCCCTTCTTGGTGGTCCACGTGGGGATGCGGGGGAGAGGAGGGCAGGAGAGAGGATTTATTTCTAACCAAAGCTTATATATCTTTGGGGTCGTGTAAGCACCCCTGATTACAGATGACCACATGCAAAACAGGAAGGGGTTGTGCCACAGACAATACAAGCAATAGGAGGGGGATGATCTAAGGATGTACACGCAATAGGAAGGGGAGGGACTAGGGGTGCACATGTGACAAGATGGGTGGATCCTAGACTCAATATGGCGGCCTAACCTTGGTCACCCTTGAGTGGGCTTGACCTCCCTGGGCTCTCCTTCAGGGACACAATCCACCCTTCTCAGAAGGAAGTGGGCTCTACCTAGGGTGGGATGGACTATACAGTCTGATTGGTCTAGATAGCTGACAACCCCCAGGGAGACTAACCTCTGACCTGCTTTCGTTGACCTCCAAGTGTACAGCCGTTTACCATGTGTAGCAGGCAGTGTCTTAGGTTTGGCATACATTTGGGGGAGACAACTTGGGAAAAATCTTTCTGTATCCCACATTGTGGTGACCCCCAACCATAAAATTATTTGTGTTGCCACTTCATAACTGTAATTTTCTTGCTGTTATGAATCAGGTGACCCCTGTGAAAGGGTCCTTCGACCCCCAAAGGGGTCACGACCCACAGGTTGAGAACCACTGGCCTAAAGCATGAACCTGTGCTTCCTCCTCCTCCCTGTGGCCCCCAGGTGGCACTCGGGCTGTGGCTGCTGTCCGCAGGTCCATCACTCACCCTATGCTCTGCTGAAAGACATCTGGGCCCACCCACTCTCGGACCCATCTAGAATAGGACCTTTTTGGGGGGCTTCCGAGGCTCTTGGCGTGTACCTTTCTCAGCTGTTAATGTTTAACTCAGCTACAGGGGTAAGACCTTGTCACGCCCTTTTATGACATGCCCCCAACCTCCTTGGACCGTGTCTGGGAGCCTGGAGTCTTGCCTTTTATTCTCAGATCCCCATATTGATTTGCCCTACTGACCCCTTTTCAGGAAAAAGTTACATCCCACCCCCACCTCCCCAACAATGAAAAGCATTTGTACTATGGCCCATAATCCAGGATGAAGAATAGGTATCTGCTTTTACAAACCACACTCCACCCCCCATGCCCCGCCAATGTTTTAACACCGCCCCCCCCAGGTATCTCCCACCTTGGGAAACAATGCTCCAGATCATTGTCCATTTTGAGCCACCTGGTGATGAAGTGGTCACGTGGGGGCTGCTAATTGCAAAGTCCGCCGTTCAAAACCACCAGCTGCCCTCCAGGAGAAAGATGAGGCTTTCTACTCCTGTGAAGAGTGACAGCCTTGGAAAACCACAGCGGGCACTTCCACCCTGCCCTTTAGGATCAGAGTCAGCTCATTCACAGCGAGTTTGGGGGTTGTTTTTGGTGTTGCCGCAGAAGGTCAGAAGCCATGTTCATTCTACCCCATGTAAGCACACAGTTGCCCAGCACTGATTGTTAAAAAGACCATCAGAACACTTTGGCATCTTGCTTGCACCTCAGTTGACCAGCTGGGTGAGAATCAGTGTCAGAATGATGTGCTCAGACCTACAGATCTGAGCTTCCGCCTTCCGGGGCCACCTAGCCCCCCTGCGCTGTAAGGTAAGATGCTGGGACCTCCTGGGCCCTTCCAACAGAGACAGATAGATGCCAACCGTTTCTCTCCCCACACCCAGGGGGCCTGTTTTTGCTGCTGGATAAAGATCAGTAGATCCTTTCCCCATTACACCCCCTCACCCCACCACCACCACACACACACACACTCACACACACACACTCACACACCCATGGCAGCCTGAGCCTGAACCCGGTCAGGCTTGGACTTTGATCAGAGAGGGGATCCATTCCGCCTGGTAATTCTTACCTATGGGCTGCTGTTCTCAAAATGCCCAGAAGCCTCCCAGCGTGTTGTCTTTTAATCAGCTTTTGCCACTCAAGTGTAATGAATTCTTGGGGGGCGGCTTCTTGATGAAATGAAGTCAACTGAACATCCAACCTGGATTACTGGCCGGGTTTAAGAGTCCATGAAGGAGGAAATGAAGGGGTATCATTTGAAAGCTCAGCAAAGGTAAAGAGTTTCAAATAATGAAGAAAATGGCATGTGGGCCTACATTTCAAAGGCTTGAAGGCTTTAGTGTTTTGTTTTTCCTTTTCTATCCCCTTCTTGAAACATTTCCTTGGGGTGGGAAAAGAAAAATGATTTAACGTAGCGACCTTGGCAATTTGTCAGGAAGCTGTGGGTTGTGTTACAGGCACACAGCAGGACAGATGGCACTTCCACTGAGCTCCTGAGGAGGCCGCTGGAGAGTCTGCTGGACTCTCTGGAAGCCAAGTGCCTAGGGGGAACAATGTGTGAGCAAAGCTGTGTGGCCCCTTCCCATTCGATCTCCTTCCGTGGTTTACCAGCAGGCATTTGCACACCACTGCAACCTACAAGGGGCTGGTGGAGAGGCGGTAGCAAGGCTGTGCCCTAGCCATGCCCATCTTCCTCTCCTCCCCAGTTCTTGCAGGCATCTCTCCAGCCGCTGAGGCTGTCTGATAACGTCCGTTCTCGTAGCCTCTCGTCGTATGGTTTATCTGGTCCCGTTGTGACCAGGGGTCCAGGATTGCCTGTCCCTGTTTCAGCCAAAGACAGAGACGGGGTGGATTCGAGAAGCTCTCTACCTGTATTCTTCAAGTGCAAGACAGAATGAAACATCGCCCCACCCTGGCAATTAAAACAGCGGGGTGGTTTGCTACCTCCACACTGCTTCCAGAGTCTAGTGGAAATCAAGCAAGTTATATACCCTAAACTATGGGAACAGGAAAAAAGAGGAAGAAGCAGGTGCTGCAGTGATCACAGAAAACCACTGATACCTACATTTCTCTAGGATTACCAGACCACATCATGCCTCAGGTTGCCTTGTTCATTTAAATGGCTGGTGCGTTGTGCCTGGCTACTTATCTTAATGGCTCTGCTAACCAGCTTCCAGAGTTAGAACATCCCTACTGATTAAGCTTAAAAGTCTTTTTTTTTTTTTTTACTGTGAGGGAGTGTGCTGTTATGTTTTTGACTTCCAACAACCTAAATCTTACATTACATTTCTAGTACTTTGATTAACAGCCAGCTAACTTTTTCACCACCCCCTTCTATCACCGGGACCAAGCATGATCCATAACCTGTTGTGTGCCTCATCCACATCCAGTGCTTCAGGCATTACCTGCCTGGCTGAGACCCCCTATCTTACTGCAGGAAAGGCTTTGATCTCTGGCCTACCATTGGGGCGTGCATATCTCTGTTGCTCTCTCTCTGCCTTAGCCTAACCCTGCCTCCTTTGTGTTGCAGCTCCCTGGGGGAAGCGTGGGCCCAGGTGAAGAAGAGCCTTGCAGATGAGGCTGAAGTTCATCTCAAGTTTTCAGCCAAGGTAACCTTGCGCCCTTCCAAAGCTGGCTGCACACCTAACAACCGTCTCTCCAGTCTGTAATGTGTGCCAATTTCCATGGTGTACAATGTAAGCTACCAACATGATCTTACTGAAGAAACTGTTGGAAATGTTACCAGCATTCAGGTTCTTGTTTTTCCAAATGAGAAATTTACTTCTGGAAGACATGGGACATTGTTTAAGAACTCCTGGTCTCAGTGTTTCTTGCTTCTCATGTGCATACTCTGCCTTTTAAGCATTGTTCTGCATAAGAGATTCTCAGAGACTGTCCTTCAGTGGAAGAATTTCCACTGGGGGGAGCAAGGGGTTCTGGGACATGCAGTCCCTAGATAGTACATGGACTCCACACATGCTCTCTCCAAATCTCCATTTTCACTCCCTTACCCTGACTCAGAAATGTGTGCCACCTATCTACTTATAACAACCGTAGAGGACGGAGTAGGGGGCGGAGAACTGCTCAACTCCCCCCACCCTAGCATTGAACACCTTTAACACTGTAGCCCATACTCCAGGATCATGTATAGGGATCTGTTTTTGAAAGCCCACTGGATTGTTCCAGCGCCCTTTCCGCCATAGGGAGCGCTATCACCCACTTTGGGAAAAACCGGTTTGGATCGCTTGATTTTTCCTAACAACTGTGTGTAACACCCAGCTCAAAACATTCCGGAAAAGGTGCTTTTCTGATCTTCTAAACCATTTGGAGCCAGTCCCCCTGCTCCCCGCACACCTGAATAGGCACCCATCCCTCACTTCCCCACTTCCCCTGAGTGGTGACGCCCCAGCCTCCTGTTAGTTGATCTTTCAAAGAGACGCATGAGCATTTCCTTGCATTTTTTTTATGTTGGGCGACAGTATACTAATGCCAAAGAGAAAATGGTTGCTTGTTTGTTTCGACTCTGTTGCCATGGCAAGTCTCAGTGTACCTGTGAATGGCTTCTATTTCCTATGGTTCTGAAAACTCACACACCAGAACTTTCGTAAGGACGGGCACTTTGTCCTGTTCGCTCTGCCCTCAGGGAGCCCGGGTGACACAGCAGGTCACACGTTGGGCTGCTCACCACAGAGTCAGCAGTTGGAAACCACCAGCCGCTCCAAGGGAGAGCAAGATAAGGCTGTGTGCGCCCATCAGGAGGCGCCGTCTCTGAAACCCGCGGCACAGTTCTGTTCTGTCCTGTGGTATGCCAGAGTCAGCAGCGACTCGGTAGAGGTGAGAAAGAGACTGTCCACGGCGAGCCATGCTGAACAAATATTTCCAGAATTCATAAATATAGGGAAGCCTCAGATTCCAACTCTTCCTCCTCGGTTTGTTTGTTGCTGTTGTTTTATTGAAAAATAAGTGTCCAAGTGGAGTACTTCATACTAAAGTGTGAAGGACTGATAGGGTGACCCACAAGCCCTTGAAAAAGCGGAGAGACTCTTGAACCTGAGACCAGACCAGCAGCTCTAGCCGACGACAGTCCCCTCTCTGGCCTCCCACAGAAGCCAAAAGAGATGGTTCCCTTCTCTGAGCAGCCCCTTATTTAAATTGGGGAGCACAGGGCCCCTAATAGTGTTTGCTCCTTCCAAGGGTTTCCACAGTACAGTTCACTTGTTCTCTTTCTTGGAGAGCACTTTCCCCACCTCATGTGGCGTGGGCCCCGTGGGGCCAGGACTTGGCCTGGGAGCCCACGCTGTTGGTGGTACTCTGTACCCAGAGAGGGCAGAGCCACTCAGCCGAACTGCTGCGGATTCAACCAAAACTCCCCAAAACAAACCCACTGGCTGCAAGTCAATTCCAACTCATAGCAACCCTCCAGGACAGGGCAGAACTGCCCCTGTGGATTTCCGAGACAGTAACTATGAGAGTAGACAGCCCCTGACTTCTCTCATGGAGCGGCTGATGGGTTCAAACTACTGACCTTGCAATTAGCAGCTGGTGGGTGGAAGCTGGCAGTGCTGGGATCAGTTTCCTGCTCTAAAGGCTATCAGTGCCCCAACAGATGTGAGAGAGAGGAGTTGTGTGTGTGTGTGTGTGTGTGTGTGTGTTCGTGTTCACTCGCATGCACATGCGTGTGTGCTGACAACACACTCACCTTGCCAACCACACAGGATGCAGGAAATCTCCAGCTGGGCACAGGGAGAGCGGACTGCCCCTGAACGGTGCACTCTCCTGCCTTCCCCACAAAGGAGCATGGTGTTTGTTTTTCAACTTCAGATCTCAGGCAGTCTTTTTTCTACTGGTCTCACACCACAC